GGCAGGCGGGAATCGAACTCATGCGGAAGTGGCTTCAGATTTTCAGTGCTGCGCTTTAACCCGCTGCGCCACCAGGGAGGGCCACAATGCTAGTTGTTTTAAAGGAAAATAAATGTGGGAAGAAAATCCTCTCTTCCCTAATTAACTAAAAAGTCATTCTAACAGCATCATTAGTTAATGAGTTACTTAAGCCCCTAGTTGAGAGCAAAGGGTGAATTCAGGCCTCATATTAAGTTCCTTAAATTATTTGCAGTTGGAAAACTGAAATTTAAAACGTCCTCACATATGAATATGATTCCATTTTGTCTCTCCAACAAGGACCAGAACTCAGGCGTCCAACACCTGACTGAGTGGGGTCAGCTGACCAGCAGCAGTGCCACCATGTGGCAATTTATCAGAATGCAGACTTTTAGTTCCAAACTTAGGTCTACCAGATCAGAATCTGTTTTAGTAAGATCCCTAAATGAATTATAGTAAATGAAGTTTAAAAACCACTGCATCATGGTATATGGGTTCTCAGACTTTAGCATACATCAGAGTCATCTGAAAGGTTAATAACTATTAAGCTTTTTCACTATTCTAATAAATATCTTAAAAACACACATGCTACCTGAGGCCCAGATTTAATGAAAACAACCAAGGGCTTACAGAGATATGACAGGGAACCTACTATATGAGAGGTTTAAGACCAAGATAACAGAGAAGCAAATTTATAGCCACCTGTGATCCTAACACAGAGCTATAGCTCCATGCTTACTTTCCCTTGTCAAATAGACTTATGTATAACGCAGCAACAGCTAAAAATAAATACACCATTAAATTTCTCCTAGAGTAGAATTTGTGTATCCCAGAACATTTTTTATCTTTTCCTCTTCCCATTTTTTAACAGACGCCCCTAGGACCACTAAAGCAAAAATAAGGCATATAACATTCTCTCTCTTGTTTCCAGTTATTAAAATATAGTTCACACTTTCTGTCCCTTCCTGGTGTTAAAGTGCAGCAGTGTGAAGTCATCTGCAGCCACTGCAGCATGTTTGATTTCCTGCCAGGGAGCTGACCAACATGGTATGGCAGACATCTCCTGACCCGCCTGCTATTCCCCTCATCAGTGTAGTTCAGCCAATCCTGCCTATTCTGCTCCCCACTCTGTCTCTGGTGAATCCTCTCATCCACTGTAACCTCTGGCCTATACTCTAGTTATGGTATGCACAAATAAATAAAATTTTTTAAAAAGTGTAGTTTGCACTTTTTTTACTCTTTGAGAAATGAAGTTTCAAAACCCTGACCCAGCTACAAAGACCCAAACAACCCTGGCCTTTTCAATAAAAAGGTTGTCTCAGTATGCCTGCATTTTTATAAGCAAAAAGAAGCTGTCAAAAAATAATGCCTCGTCATATTCCAGAACAACTAAGTAGTAATATATTGAGAAAAAGAGATAATACTTAAAACTTCACAGGCATTGGTATTGTTAATTATCTCTGGTCAAAAAGAAGAAAAATTGCCCACTGAAAGAAGAACACTGAAAATGAAAGTCTGGTTCTGAAAAATTTGTCACTCCAAAGATTGTTTTTTTCTAAATGTTATCTGGTACTTGAAGCACTAACTCAAAGTAGAGTAATTATACCTTAAGGAAAACCCTGAAACCTTCCTACTTTATATAAAGAGCAAGGAAGTATACTAAGATTAAAAAATTAGAAAAATACTGTAATAGAAAAATCTGGAACTCAATCTTTCCCCTCCCTCTGCCATCACAAAACATGCACACCAAAATTAACTGAAATGATTTTGAATCACATTAAGGTTGAAAAGGAAACACTAAAGTGATCATTTGCTGCTAAAAATTAGTGCTGGGAAAAAGATAGTTTGTATACACACATATGTATATAAACAAGAACCTAATGAACAATTTCAGTGTCATTTTGATGTACTATTTTGAAACAAGTATATCAGTGGTATTTTCTAGAATTATTTTTCTCCAATAGCTTCAACCACCTTGATTAAGGGGAATGAAGTTTTTCTGAGTAAGGTGCCATTATGAAAGTTGACATTTTATTTGACATTCAATAATGTCAATAGTTTATTTAAAAGCAAAGATCAAAATGTCTTAAATTCTGAAGGCTTCTACTTCACACTTATTGCATAACAATAACATTGATAATATTTGAGTGAACATATGAAATTTATGTCATAAATTAAATCCAAGAAGAATCAAACCTACCACAAGAGTGTCCAAAGAATCAATCAGTGTTAGGGAAAACCTAAAAAACAAGTATAAGACACAAAACATTAGAATTCTAAATATTTTATTTAGCCACAAATATAGAAAGTTACTGGTACTTATATGTATCTCTATAATACACTGCCACCTATAAATACTGATAGCACTAATCTTAACATTACATTTATCCTCAGCATGTATCTACATATCTTTCAAGATAAATAGAAATATTCAATAGATAATTTTAAATATTAACGCATCAGCATGATAAAATGTATTAAATATTTTAAATATATTTTTTATGTTGCATACAATTTAAGAAACAACTCATTCAACGTTTATCAATCTAAGAGATAAACTGATTAATTTTTACAAAACAGAAGGGAATAAAGGAGTTTAATTCAATACTTAAAACAGTCACTGAAATTTAACTAAAATTCAGAAATAAGATAGTAAACTGCCTCTAAGAGGCGTAAGGATACTATGATCCCTGTATTAATACTCACTTTCCCAAAGCATCATCAACATCACCCCGACTTGGCTCCTGACCTCTAACACGACCTCTACAGGTTAAAGGCATCAGTTCGTCAGCTGGGTAAGCGTGTTCCTACAAAAAAATACTTCAATGAATCACAACAAAAAATAACAGAAAGCAAACATCATTTAAAAAATAAAATCTCTCACAGTAAAAAAAAAAAAAAAAGTAAAATGTAAAGCGTAGCCACAAGTTCTACTGACAGTCTATGGAATGTTATAAAAAATGTTTAATTGTCTAGAATGCTCATTCCTTTAAGATTCTGGAAATCTGCTAGCTTTCCATCCAATCTCACTCTCCAGAGGTGCTACTGCTATAGCTGGCATTTATATTTCAGAATTATTCAAGTGTTCAAATACATGTGCATACATCATGCAAAATTCTATTTACAGATGACTCATACTGCTCTAGAATCTTAAATTACAGTGGGTTTTTTCTAGGTTAGGCTGTTTAGGATGTACTTTATTTTTAATAACTATGAAATGATAACTTAAAATTAGCTAGGATGTAATACTATACTAATAAGCTTAAGACTATCTTGAGCCTATGCAAACAGTACTCTTACCATATTATTTTTTTAATCTAGATGTTTATTCCATCTATAGCCTATTTTTATGTGAACTAGGAATGAAACAATCCTATGCTATAAAAGCCACTTTTCTAAATACCATTTTTTAAACAATCCACTTTTCCTAAATGAAATACAACATCATTCAAAATTATCTATTCATACATTTCCATTGTCTCTATTTTAAAGTCTTATTTCATACTCCAATATGATCATCTTAACTATCCTATTGTTACAACAGGTAGTACAGCAATTCTCTCCCTTCAATTATTTTTATTACTTTTTCAAGTTTATTCTCTTGGATTAGTTTAATATTTCTTTATAATACCATTAAAGTTTTAACTGCAAAAGTCTAATTAGAGAAGAATGCATATCTTTACTAACTGAATATTTCCATTTTGGAGTATAAAACATCAGTGTTAATTCATATCATCAATGTTAATTCATATCATCTTTTATGAATTCAATTTCTTCCTATAGGTCTCAAAATCTAATAAATTTCTTATTGGGTTTATTATTGGTAAACCTAGTTTACTATTTACTATTTTGATTTACTATTGCCAAGTAAGATTTTTATTTTTAAAAGTGACATGAGAGTATTCCTAGTCTAAATAATGAAGTACATGCAAGAATCTTCTATCCACTACAAACACACAGCCCTACTGCATTAATTTTTTTTTAATTGAATTTGAGGACAAGAAAACTTCAAGTACCAAAATGAGTGGAATGTGGAAAATGAAGCTATATTGCCTACAACATGGGCATTAGGAATGAAGACAGTTTTTAAGGGGAGTGATGCTAATACCCAAAGTGATGGGAGATGAAGCTGCCGGCCCTGCATACAGGGCCTAAGTGATGGGTACGTTCCTTAAGTTGGGCAGTTGCTTCATAGATACTGAAATGGAACTTCTCATTTACTGGCTGTGGGTCTTAACAGAAAAGGAGAGAAACAAGAAATAGCCGATGAACTTTCTATTTTCTTTACCAGGTGAGGACCCCTAAAAAAGTTTTCTAAAATTATGAGTAAAGTGTAGAGGTTAGAATTATTGTATTTACATGTTTCAATTTTAACCAATATTTGTAGATTCCTGACTGTCAATAACAGGATTAACATACTATATACTTTTCCCTATTCAGGAAATTCCCATTCGAATTTTTGTCAATTATGTTATTACAAGTAATTTTCTCTATGCACAGTCACACGTTTCACTATTAAGTTAAATAAAACTCAGCAACATAGGTAAAATTCAGGTATCACTGTGTATTAACTATAAGTAATTGCCTAAAATCCAAGCTCTGCTGCTTATTCTTAACCCACAATTGCTATGGAAGTAACATCTCATAACAACCAGTGATCAATCATTATGTCTTTGAAAGTCTGTGACTGATCACTGTATCTATTTTGAGTGTATACACAGCAAATGTAGTTGTGATGCCCCCTTTCACCTAGTGATAATCCTACTGACAGTTTGATAGTTTTATAAAAAAGGATCAAAGTGGAAATCAGTAAACAGAATGAAAGTTCAGCAAAGGGATGAAGTTTCACCAAAAGTGAAACTGGAATTGAACATAAATGGGTAATGGACTAAATAGCTTACCATGGAATGTTGACACAATGCCACTTGAGACCCTAAACATGAACTCACAGGAACTAAGTGAAGGTCACATTGTCAAGGATGAAGAAAGAGGTAACAGAAAGGATGAAGATGTCACAGAGGAAATGAGGCCCATAAAAAAATTCCCATTGAGGTGATTTGGTGATGGGAAACCCACAGGGATTACAACTGAGATGAAAAAATGCACAAAATGATATAAACTATTATATTATTTAAAAAAAAAATTCCCATTGAAAGGGAATCCCAGAGATATTTCATGACATGGAGTGCAAAGTATAAAATAGCTAAAGCTGATCCAAACTGTGGAATGAGTGTGTCAGTACAAACAAGTACAGAAAAGATGTCTATTCAGTATCAAGTTATACAATATGATGAAAGCCAGGCAAGCACTATTCAGATTTCTCTAAGTGCTTTTTCCCAGACAAATAACACTTTAATTCAAAGTCTCTAACATTCTGAATTACAATGTATGATGTATTAGTTTTGCTCTTTTTAAAAAATTCTCTGTACATATCCATCAGAAAAAGCATTTAATGCATGGGCAAATTTTAAAAGGTTTACATTTATATTCTGGTCTAGAATCCCAATTCCCACGGTGGCTAGTGTTAGAATTCTACTTAAACAGAGTTAACACACAAGTTCTTTAATTTTGAAACACTTTTATCAGCTTTATTATTACGCTGGTATTTTTGCATTAAGTTGCTGTTAGTCTAATATTTGAAAAACAATTTAAATGGTTATGAAATACTTGAGATTTTTTCTAGCTTCACAACCTGACGTACTGTTCCATCCCATTCTTGTATTCACTGAGTATTATGTGGACAAAGTTTCTAAGACTAGCCTGATTCTTCACAACTTGAGTCGGATTTGTTTTTTTTTTTTTTATACTTACATGATCAAATGACTCTTAATTCTTGAAGTTCAGCAAAACTATTCCCAATGTCATATACAAATCTATTCTACCACTTCTTACTAAATGCAAAGATCTAGATTCTAAATTCAAAGCAGCAGAAAAGAGAGGTAAGAAATTAAACACACAATCATCAAAATGGCAAAGATTAAAAAAAACATTATAGTAAGCTGAAGAATACAAAAAACATCGAAGGCTGTAATCCTTCAGGTAATTTGAAAAGTTCAGTACTCACTGATGATTCATTTCCTGAGAAAGAGTTCCAGGGAACAAATGTTTTTGATTATAATTAGAATCCACATGCAGCTATTAAATTTTAAATTCAATGTACTTTAATTTTAATATTGTATGTGAATTTTAAATTCCTAATTACTTTTTACATGTGTCTTGTCACATTCCTAATTACTTTTTCAGCATTACTTCCAATAGAATGTGATTTTTCCAGAATGCACACCACTTCTATAGCTTTAGAGTTTCATATTTAATACATAAACAACACTCAGAAGTAACTCAAGAAAAGTAGTATTTTTTAAACTTGCAGAGATATTTTTGTAAGCAACTATTCATTCAAATATTAATTTGGTTGTAATGGGTTTACAAAACACATATATTTACACCATCATCCCTGTCTAAAATTAAATATAAAACTGAACTCTAAGCTTACTCAGATAAGAAAAACATTAAAAGCAAATGCAAACCATAATAATCAAATAAGGGAGTTTTGATTCAAGTTAATATACGCTGTCCCTTTGTTTCAATTTAAGGATAAAAACAAAACCACAGTTCTTTTTTCAGGGTTAACCACAAGTGAACTACAGTTGGCTTGCATAAGTGAAGAGCAAAGCATACGTGGCAAATAAACAGCCAGACCCGGTATTAGGCTTCAAACATCCTGGTTATTGAGATATAGTAATACTTCCTCTTTATAAAGTATGGCCAAAAGTAAAAATAAGTAATTCATACCACTATGACTCAAAGCCATAAAATACACTGAGTAATAATCACATAGAAATGAAGTGTAAGTAAGTGTTAAGAGAGTCCTACCAAAAAATAAAGCAGATTGTGTACCTAGCTAAAAGCAGGGGCAAAACAAATAAAAAAGCAGTTGACAGCCCACAGCAAACTCTAAGTTTACTAAAGTGTTGAGGCTCTATAACTGCTTTCATACACTCTAAAATCAAGACAGTCAGTAAAACCAATTCCAAAAGTGGACACAGTAAAGAGACTTCATTCCACTAACAATTATAAAATAAAGCATTATTTATAAGAGTTAATAAAGTGGTTCAATTTATTTCATTTCCAATTACATATGTACTTTTAAGTCTTATTCCAGATCCTTATTGTTAAATACCTCCCTTCTTGAGGCAGATAACCCTTCTTGAAATAAAAACTAAATAGTAGTAACAAACTATCACATACTGATAAACATATGCTAATTTACAGTTGACCTTTGAACTACTAGGGAGGTTCTACCAAACACAGCTGAAAATCCAAGTGTAATTTTGGGTTGCTCCAAATTTAAATACTAACAGTCTGCTACTGACTGGAATCTTCTAGTAATATAAGCAGTCTACTAGCATGTATTTTGTATATTATATGTTTTACAGGTTGTAGTTTTATAAGTGAATTAGAGGAAAAGAAAATCTGTAATTACTGAAGCCAAAAGTTTACACATCCGTTTAGAAGAAAATCTACACGTAAGTGGACCTGCACAATTAGCACTCCTGCTGCTTAAGGGTGACCTGTACTGAGAGCCTGTGATTACTTATCCTCCTTTCACTCCAAGGCAAATTCTCTCAAAGTTCCCTTTTATTCAATGTTTATATCCATCAAACCATTTTTTAAAGATTTTCCCACTAACTTAAAGTATTAAACTTTTAGATTCAGAGCTTCCTACACTGAGCATTTATTCTCCTCTGAGCTAGCATATTTTATGAAGTGTTTCTCACAGAAGAACCAAGTAACATAATCACAGCTG